ATAAGTTATAATTTTGAGTAAACTAATAATCTGCCTAAAAATCACCCCTCTCCCGTACTGAAAATGGCCACACACAGGGAATTTCATTCTCATACATCGTCGCAGTTCATGACCGACTCCTATTTTAGCTCGAAATGCAATACATGATCATGTAGTAAATTATACCACCAATCTAACATCTCTTGGTATTCTTTTCGTATCTTTCATGCATTTAATGTTTTCCTGATCTGTTGCGCATTTTCGTTGGATTGCGTCCTGACTATTGCCCAGAACAACCATTCCTGTCCTGATTATTACATGGAGTAACCACGTCCATCCTGATATTACCGAGGGTAATATGACTATTTTCGCTTCACAATTGGGAATTAAATCACGTGAACTGAGTCATGCAAGGCAGATTGCTTAATATTACGTCGTTCCGCATGTTTTCATATATATGTATTTAGATGTTGGTAATTTTTTTTCATGCATCGATTTTGTTTATTATTGATAAATATTCCGAGTAAACAAGTAATATTTGATGCGATGTGGTTATTACATAAACTCTTGTCCTATTTATTATTTATTTTCTTTGTTTTTGCTTTTATCACATTGCAGAATTTTCACTCTATGTTACAAAATGATTATGTGCACTAGGTGAATAAACGATGTGCGTTAGCTACTCCATTGTTAACAAAACCAAATACAAATCTGAAACCATCACTAACATTTGGAACGCTAAAAGCACACTTCACATAATTTATATATATTCCTTCTGTATCATAACACAATTGTCACAAAACGTCAAACATTCATCAAGTGTAAATGAGCTGAAAATGCATGCGCATAGGAAAGTTGGACGAGGAAGTAAACAAAATAAAAATCAAAAGAGGCTTCCTGAACGAAATTAAAAGTTATAAAAACCCAACGTCAATAGTGCACAGCCCACTGAGAGAGTTTGCACGACATAAACTCAGAAGCGAATATATAGCTTCACTTTTCTCCGTCAAAGTCCTTGCCTTGGGTTTAAATTGCCGATAATTATTGCATGTTAATTATTCCCCTAAAAATATCAAGTTGACCTTTCACAGAGATACTGAACTTGGCAGAGAATATCATACAGTCTATTGCTAATTAAAGAAAACCCTAGTTTTAAACATAATTACATGGAAGACTTGTAATATATGGCATAACTCAGATGAGAATCTCTAATTTCCAATCTGATTAAAATATAATGTATTGTAAGGCATGAATTCAATTTAATTTATATAATTTATTTTATTTCTAATATACCTTTTTATTGTTTTGTAATTATTTTTATTATTATCACGTACATTTTATTTTGTATTATTTTAACTTTCGCGATAGCCAAAACTCTTAAAAACAATGCCAGCAAATAAAAACTAATTTAAAATAAAGTAAAAATAATGTATAATAAAAATAAATGATTGTACAGTATTTAAAAAAATAAAGCCCTCATTTTATCAGATTGTCCCAATCTCCTGTATATATTATTGTCCTCGGAGGTTGACTTATATTGCTTCAATGTGTGTTATATTCGAGATTAAGGCGGAAATTAACATAAACATAAATGAACTTGAATTGTAGTATCTTTGTTTGTTACAATCTAGGGAAATATCATTTGAATAAATTAGAATGTTACTGTTGATGAATATGTGTATTTGTATTGTTTTATTTGAACACCATTACATATTCATGAGAGTTTGTTTGGCCTCCTTTCCAAGTGTTCTCTGATATTTGGAAATACTTTGCTACATTTACAATCTAATAAGTATGAGTAGTGATTAGTCTGATCAAGATGAATATTCTGATTCACTGGAAAAGTTTGTGTTAGTTGAGACGGGACAGGAACAATCCAACAATGAGTCCAAAACTTAGTGAGATCCTAACTGAGGATAGACAAGTATCGACTAGT